CAAATGAGAAGCAACTTACCTGAATCCCAAGTATCTTGGTGACACCGTACATGTCAGATAAGCCGCATACAATTTCCCTAATTACAGTATTAAGTCCAGGGCAAAGTCCTCCACAGGTGACAATGCATGCATGGACCTCGTCAGGTTCAAAATAGACCTGATGGAGACAAAGGCGAGGTTAGGGAAAACGATTTCTCGTTGTAGTCACTATGTGAGCATAAACACGGCATGCTATACCCTTTGGCGAGGTCCAGCACGACGGAAGTGGTTTCCTCTTGGGCCATCCTTGTGGACAACAATCTGCATTGAGCCATGCAAGACACCGAATCAAAATGAAGACCGTCTAAACCAAAGCACCTGTCATTTTGTTGACAGAAAGGAAACACGAGTTCACGGCGAATCTCCCAAGAACTCACCTTCTGGCAGACGGTGTCATCCGGGTTAACGAAGTACTGCCTGCAAACAACATATTTCATCTTGCAGTCAACAACAATGTGCAAAGGAGAACCAGGAGTGAGAACCCAGTTAGCAGCGAGTTCAGCCTTACTTGACAACAGAGTATGCAGTGTTATCTTGCAGTGGATTTGGGTGGGTCTGCCACATCAAACAACAAAACGGTCATCATCGAAGTAACATTGAGCTCAAAGATTCAACATATTTTCGTGTTTCCTCTGTGATTAATCAGAGGACACCTAAAACGGTGTCACAAGATAAGAAACAGAGGACAGAGGGAAAAGTTCAGCTGGGCGACCACTTTCAATGGCCATCGCTGTTCCAATCCCCAAACGAAAGTGCCCACGCCACGACGCAAATAGAAGTAACCAACAAAAGGTGGTACAGTATTTAATGACAAAAGGTAGATCGCGGAGAATCTTGATGAGATTCCACGTTCTGCCGCTTGGCAGCGTGATCCCGCGGCCGGCCAACTGCTCTGCTCCAACTGCTCCACATGCCGGCGATCCAGCGAGGCGGCGACCGGTCTGACCCCCCGGATCGATCCACGCACGCAGGAACACACACACTCCTCGCGGGACGGCCGGGGCGGGCGACTCACCGGGAGATCGGGGAGGTAGTCGGAGACGTGCGGCACGTCCTCGAGGACGTACCCGGCCTCGCCGGCCGCCAGCTTCGCCCCCGTCTTGGGCGGCGGAGTCCCGTCCATCGCGGGCGTCGCCCTCTGGCTCTGGGGCTCCCGCGCGGCGTGTCGCGGCGGTCGAGCAGGCGGTGCAGGTGCGGGTGCGGAGGTTCACGCGGGCTGGGGACGGCGATTGGGGCGGGGC